CCAGGACCCTGAGCAGCCCCCTCACCACGAAGCTGCCGGCCGGGTGCTGGGCGAAAGCCACCAGGTCCCCCCCAATTTGGGCCGCCAGGTGCCCCACGGCTTCCTCCACTCGCCCCACGGCTCCTTCCTCCTCCTCCTCCTCCTGCCCCCCTAAAACGGCCACCACTCGCCCCAAAGCGGCTTCCAACACCCGAGCCCCCAAAGGGTGCCCGGCCGGACCCCCCAACCCCCCCGCCACCAAAAGGGACAAAAACCGCCCCAAAACCCCCAGCGGGGCGTGGGGGAGGAGGGCTTGGAGGAGACGGGACCCCCCCGGGTCCAGGGACACCCCTGGCATCGACGCCGCCGCCTCCGCCAGCACGTTGGGGGCAAAGAGAGCTGCCAAAAATACAGGAAAAACAGAGAAAAACATCCATTATTACACCAAAACGCACAAACGGGGCTGAAAAATCAACGCGCGGCGCCTAAAAGTGGAGTTATTTGACCCAAAAGCCTCCAAATCTGACCAGAAATACCCAAAATCTGCTCAGAGAGATCCCTAAAATCTCCAAATCTGCCCAGAGATTCCCAAAAAAATGGTCACACAACCCCCAAATGTGCCCAGAAATCCCCAAATCCGCTCATGCACCCTCAAAATCTGCCCAGAGACCCCCAAATCTGCCCAGAGGCTCCCAAAAAATGGTCACACAACCCCCAAATGCGCCCAGAGAACCCCAAATCTGCCCAGAAACGCCCAAAATCTGGTCATAAAGACCCCAAGAACACCCAAATCTGCCCAGAGACCCCAAAACCCCAAAATCTGCCCAGAGACACCCAAAATATGGTCATAAAGACCCCTAAAACCCCCCAAATCTGCCCCAAGAACCCCAAAATTTGCTCACAGAGACCCCAAGCCCCTCCAAAGGCCCCTCAGGGAACCCCTAAATCCCTCAGGGAGCTCTCAAAGACCCCAAATCCCCTCAGGGAGCCCCCCAAATCCCCCCAAAGACCCCAAATCCCCTCAGAGAACCCCTCAAAGACCCCAAATCCCCTCAGGGAGCCCCCAAATCC